AGAAACAGTCGGGGTCCATTTCGATTGCGCGGGGAAAAGTGGTCGCTTGGTTTTGAGAAAGCGAGCGTGTGTATTTTCTGGGAGAGGAGGAGTGTTTCGATCGTACCATGCATACACTACGTTTTCTCTTGGTTTCTTAGATGTGTTGGTTACTTTTTGCCTTCGTTCTTGCACTTGCGGCATTTATTAGGTTGCTTCGTAAACCTCGATATAGTCACTTACGACGCTATGATTTTTTTTTCTCTTAGGACCAATGATTTGAGGTTTTTATTTTACCTTCAACTATGCATTACCTATAAATCACATTTTCCTTTCTTGGGACGAAAGTCGCTTATTTATGTTGTAGTCGCAAACTAAAACTCGGTAAACGAAAAAAAAAAAAAAACGAACTGGCAGATATGAGACGGTATTCTAGCAAAGACGGACGCCACATTTTATTCGCGCCTCGACTCCCATAAATAAAAGCGCGAACTCACTGTTATATACCATATTATAGTAGAACCAACAACGACTCCACCCGCCTCAAGCAGCGTTCGGGCAGGGCACCCTATCTAGACTTCAACGTATAGCGGGCACCTCCCCCACTCGCCTCGTTGACCCAGTAAACTTAGCTTTTCTTTGTTGTTGTTTTTTCTCCAGATCCATCGATCTTCATAGTCGCCCGGTGATCGCCGCATGAGAATACACAGGCCAGACGCGGCGCACGCTTGCACGCGGAAGCGCGGACCGATCGCCGCGACCACTTTCGCACGGCTGTTTCTCAGCGAGGCGAGGTCGCGGGTGGACACGCCGTGTGGCGGTGATCTATGCGCGGCTCCACGGTGCGAAAGATTCTTGGGCCGGGTTCGGATCGTGCGTGGGCGGGCTGAGGTGGCGGTTGCGCCTCGCTGCCTCGACGCCCACGCAGCACGCTGTGGCCAACTGGACCGTATACTACAGATCCGCTAAATAGTAGCCGTAGCCTGTATATGCTCCATCGGAGTGAGGGCACCTCAACCGTCTTGTTGCTAAGAAATTATTGTTGCCGAAACTTTATTGTAAATAGTGGTTCACCGCAACTGTCGACAATCAATATAATTGTTTCGCGTGTTTCTTTTGACAGTGCGAAGTTGGTCAGCCCCAATGGGCGTCTTGTGTCTCTGCGGTAGGAGAAAAATTTAGCCAGTTCAGTACCATGGACTGCGAGCCGGGGGTCTTGAACGTGGGTCACGCAGAGGTGATGCACGCTTATCAAGATCGAAATAATGTTTAACAAGATTGAAACGAGGGTATGGGTCCTCGGTTCTTACGGCGCGAGGTTTCGCTCGATGCCCTCCGAACTATGGCGCGTTAACACACTCGGCCACCCAATCCTCCCCCTGCTCCAGTTATCTAAACCTGCAATCCGATAAGCGTGTTCCCTTCTCCCAGAAATTGTTAAGGCACCCCATGCACCCCATACACCAACTCAATGTTTGAAAACAAGCGTGCGTTTGCCCACAGAAGCTGTGGGCACTGCGCATGCGCAGGAACCAGTTTTTCGAAGAGCTAAGTATCCGCGCATGCTCTGTTGAGCAGCCAGCACCACCGCCTCGGCGTGACGTCATGACCTCCAGTTAAGGTATACCTAAAGCTCAGAAATGCGGATTAGTTTTTAAGTCGTAACTATACATCGCTGATAGACCCGTTGCAAAATCGAAGCTATCCTTCCGGCGTAAAGCCGCGCAAAGCATTTTGGGAATCCTTTGGCACCAGGATTCGATTTTGATTGGCCAATTTCAGCTTACATCATCCCTTTGCGGCCAAAGGCGGTGCTTGCATTTTTAGATACGTGACTTTACTGAAGTTTACAATACTGTCGGTGTTTCCTACCAATATGGATAGAATACTGGGGGCACGTTTTTTGGGGGCTCCTGACGTGCCAGAAATCGTGCGTAGGTAAACACGGGACCACAATAGCATATGGAAGAAGAAGCGTACTGGCCCTAGGATAAGACTGGCTTATCTCGCGCAGTTCTGAACTGGACGCCGCTGGTCGTCAAAAAGCGCCCCACAATAGACCATTTTCAAAAGTCCGTGCCATCATCTGTCCGCCACTGCCTGAAATCACGTACTCTGAGCATGCAGTGGACATGATAGTTGCGTCAGAGTTTGGCGTGATCGACTCGTGAGTCGATCCTTCGGTTATTCGACATTCAGTCTTAGTGCCCTCACTTTTTCTAGCGGAACTCAGCTCATCTTCTCCGTCGTTGCTATTCGACGTTCCGTATTGAAATATAAGAGAGAGGGAGAGACATCATCACGCGCACTTCGTAGCCTTCACGCAACGTCCCGCCCGATCCGGCGACGATTCCTATTACTATTGTGATACCCATAATTCCATCCTGCAATAGACTATTTTCAAAAGTAGGCGCCATCTGCTAGCTGGTGCGCCGATTTTTCGAGTCCCTCATTGTTTGGGCACGCACTCTGAACATGTATTTGACACGAGCGCTGCGTCAGAGTTCGGCGAGGACTCGGATCTAATCACGCACTCCGTGCCCAATGGATAGATGGAGATGGATGTAATGGCTATACCCTTTGTAACGAGCGGTAGCTTGCGCCACCTAGTCTAAGTCTAACGGGCGAGCGCCAATGTTGCTTGTTGGGCTTTTGGAAAGGGTCTATTTCTTCAACCGTCAATTGTTTCTTTAATACGATGAAATCGATAAACTTTTTTAATAAAAGAATCAATGGTTCTTTATTGATATAGATTCAGTTGAATGGGAGAGGTCTTGAAATTTCTGAATTAGCGGTCTTTGAACCGAACCACGGAACAAGCAGGCCGTTTTGTTACCTAGGATCAACTTATACGATGCTCCGGACAAAGTAAGTTAGAACATTTGGGTCGTATATTCGCTCAATTTCGACCAACATAAGCCTCGCGGATTCATCGAAAACCTTAAATCTCGTTCATCACTTAAAATCCACCACTTGTTTACCAATGAAAGCTGTCCCCTTAGAAAACAAAAATGGGGCAATTAATATATGCTCTTACATAACGTTAACCTACCCGGGTGTTCCGGGTTTGGCGTTTATTTACACGCATATAAGAACGCATTTGAAACTGCGACTCTGTGGTAGCAGTAGAAGATGCCCCGGAATAGCAGAAGTACATTGTCCTTTATCGAGGCCTACGCAGGCTGCCCGCGGCGTTTCGCGGTTCATGCTGGCGGTCCACGTGCCTTGGGACTCCGCGCAGTCAGGAGGTCCATTTCAGTTGGCTTAATAATGTGTAAGTCTATACTCGTTTTCAACTGAAGAACAGCAGTAATAAAAAGTCCGGCTCTTCGTGGAGCATTACTAATTTCCCCTTTTTATGTAGAGAAAAAAAAAAACAGATGTAGGTTCATTTTAGTTGGTACCTTATCAAGGCGTGCATGTTTCAAGCGGAAAAAGTATCGCTCCTTCCTCCGACAACCGAATTTCTTAAGAACTGCTTCGCACAGCGTATTAACAATGCGTAAAACTTTTCTTTTTTTACTTGAGGTAAAAACGAGAAGGGCTCCTCGCCCGCGTGGCTCGCACGTGACATCAGCGTACGATGCAGAAGTCATTCTATTGGTTCTTGCCGAGAGAAACAAATTCAGTCTTGCGAAATGTATGGCTGTAGAAGGCGCGCGCTCGACAGCACTGTCACCACAATGGCTGTTCATGTAAGGTCAATGAAGGTCGAAAAATATCCGCGGTAATGGCACAATGCATTACGACAAAATAAACACCTTTTGGAAAGAGTGCCGCAATCGATGCAAAATGTTGGCTTTGACAATGAGGCAAACGAAGCATTCGGCCGCGTACACCGGTCTTTCAACTCGCAAGTGGAAAGCCAGCGTCGTGAAAACAAAACGCATAATGATGTAAAAGCAGAAGAAAAGAACCAGGTGCGACCCTACGACATTTTAGCGGGTTTTTTTTTTTATAATTATTCTTTTTAGGGCGTTTTACTTAGGTGGGGAAATGAAAGAAAAAAAAACAACTGTCGGCAAACAATAAAATCGACTTTCAAGCTAACCATTGTACTTACCTTCTCAGATTTCGTTCTCTCAAAACGTCGTATTACATAATGCGTAGATTATTGAGACTCTCGAGTACGATGTATACCAACGACACGTCAGCGCAATCTGAACATTCGCGAAAAATAATGTAAAAAGGCGAAGTGAGCTCTCAAGATTATTTTTGCGCCTTTGCTTTCCCGCAGAGGACTTGTATAGACCTTTGCAAAAGTCGGGTTCTGCGAGCTGCCATCTTTGTCTGCTGAGCTGTGGGACGCATTCTGAGCATGCGCTCTTGCTCTGTTGTTCGGTATTTTAGACTGTGCGCATGCGTCCACGGCTCAGTGACTCAGCATTTTGCGCCCGGGTGATAAGCGATGGAAAGTCAGTTGCTCCGATATACAGAGATAAGACAACGTGCGTGACGCGGGACATGTTAAAACATCATGTTCAGTTTGAGGCCGTCCGCTTTAGTAATGCAATTCGTCACTTCAATTATGAGGCCTCTGCGCACATGCCTCCCTTCCCGCTCTGCCTACGTGGTGAATAATATCCGCCATCAATCCGTAATTATCGCCATTAAAATATGTTCTGCTCTTGTATGCCGATAGCCGTTTTTCGGCGCGGTTTCGCAGCGGATCCTGGGATGTGTTCGTGCGTCTATTGTGGCCCGCTAAATTTAGCGAAGAAATTCTTTCGCTACATTTAACGGGAAATCGCAGCGTAATGCGACGTCGCAATTTACCCCGCTAGATTTACCGTCATCATTCATTCGTTAAAGCTAGCGGGCATTTGGAGTCGCGTGACGCCACGCTGTAACATTCTTGCCTGATGTGACGTCATGATTTTTCGTGATGTGCTGGCGTGGTGTAAGGCTACAAATTTCACGTAACGTCATGTCACGTGCCGTGACAATTTTGCCCGCTAAAGTTAACGGGAAATTTTCCGCAATAAAGGGAAGTTTTAGAAGGATAAGCGCGCATCCTCTACCTGCGTTTCGGTGAGGCTGAGTGACTGTGCGAGCTGCTTCCTCTCGGCGCCGACCACGTAGTGGTTCTTCTCAAAGGCGTGTTCCAACTTGAGCAGCTGCGATGGGGAGAAGGCCGTCCGGATTCGCTTGGGTTTCCGGAACGGGTGCAGCAGGAAGCCCGCCGGCTCCGGACCTGCACGACCACGGACACAAGCTCAGTCGTCGCCGTCACTCTGCTCTATAGCTAAGCTACTCTCTGCCCAGGGCAGTGTTTGTTTCTCTGGCTGAAGCCCCCATCAGTCAAGCTCGAAACAAAACAAAATAAAAACGAATTTTACATTTACGTTTAGACAGCGTAAGGTCAATCTGCGTTTGAGGTATGGCGACACTCGTATACGCTGAGGATGAAAATTTTTGCCACAGCAGTACGCCTGCTAGCCTAAGGTATTTAACGTTAATTAAGCAGTAGTGATACGCGACCGCTCGCCGGTACATGCCCATCCAGGTCGAAAGAGCCAGGGGTGGGCATTAAAAGACTCTCCAGGGTTCTACAGCGCGACCTATCTTTTGACGTGCTCCGAGCTACGATCTGCTAACACACCCGGCCTCCAATCGAGATATCAGTCATACTCGTACTTTGAATATTAGTGATGTTAGCCGAATAAGACGTGGCCGCTCGCTTTACTGTTCGTAGTTACGAGCTTATAGTATCCCTCGAAGCCGAACATACTCTCAGTCCTTTGAAACATCGAAGAGAGATACGCTGCTACACCAAACTTAAAGGCACCATGAAATAATTTGTTAAATTTCTTCCTCCTTAGCTTTCCTCCGCAACTCGAAAGCGAAATGAAAAATCACGCGTTTGTGAAGTGCTTGGGCACCGATGACTCCAAGCCTCCACCACACCCTGGAACTTGTCATTTTGTCATTGGCAAGCGATGATAAGTGCCAATACGGCACTCATTCGCCACGAGCGCGAATTCAAATATTCGTCAATGGATTGATTGTTGACGAGCGCACACGTCCGTGTGATGCAGTGCTCGTGTCCAACGTGGCTCCCTCGCTCGGCTGGGAGGACTTCCGTTTCCGGTAAAAAGGCATACTTTAAGTCACGGCCACGTGATTTCGCATGTTGGTGGCCGAGTCCGGTCGAGTCGAGGAGAAAAGCAGACGTGAGTTTTCGTGAGTTGAGAGTTGAGGGTTCTCTTTAAATTTTTCTGCGACGTTTATTGCGTGGGGAGAAAAACGAATGCGTGTTCCATTGGTCCTAAGCGGTAGGGATTCGTTCTAAGCGGTATTCGCGCGAAGTACAAGAATTATTACACCGCCCCTTTAACGTACACCTTTGTGTACTCGCCGTTTTATGCCCACACTTCTAATCTACACAAGGCAGCACTCCTGGATCAAAAAACACAAAACCCGTTCGGTGGAACGTCGTGAGGCTCGACCACAAACCGCATTACTTGCGAAACAAAACAAAAAAAAAAGAAAAAAAATACACCGGTAAAGATGCGCTTCCCACACACACGACGCTCTCGACGAGTTCAGCTTATCGTTGCATCTCTGCTCCTCGAAGCAAATGATACTTGGCTCTCCGTGTATCGAATCCCACACATTTTTTTTGTTTTCTTCTTTGGCATCGTCACACACATCTAATTTACGAAAACCTAAACCCAATTCTCTCTTCCGGTTAGTTTGACTGGTATAATCAAACCAGTGCAGAAGGTGGGCCCGTCCGACGCCGGATTATGCTAACAACACGAACTCTCACGTCTGTATACAAGCGGGTAATCCTTTGCTTCTAACAGTTGGTATTCATTTCCTCAACTCCTTCGTGGGCGTACCAATTAAACTCTCGCTAGAGGGATAACGGCTGGCGCCTATACCGCCCCCGCTCTGTGTATCTACGCATCGTTCTGGATTAAGGCTAGAGCAATGGAAGAGCGGCGAGATGCGTGACCCGGCAGTATGGTATAAATATATATATTTTTTTAACCTACCCCAACTAATTATATTTTCGGAATCATCAGCCTTTACCTTTTCCGGTATGCTATTTAGTATCACGAAATTCTGAGTAGTTATTCTGACATTGGCCAGTTAAAATGATGCCGAAACCCACATTCAAATATACGCCCGCTTTTCATTGCGCTGCAGGAAAAGGGTGGCTTGCAGGTCGAGCGGGCAGTCTAAATATGAACAATGCATAGCATTTGTTTGGTGCTGTAGCGCGAAGCTGGAGCGAACCTCTATAAGGTTCATTTGACACCATGAAACTGCTTGTAAGCAGTTGACAACCAAGTCTAAAGTACAAAGAGTGAAACCCTGCCTTCCGCTGACGTCACTTTCTTATTGTTGCCAGCAGAGACTTTCACTTTGAAAATTACGTTGAGGACCAAAATTGTCAATTCAATAATTTTGCATAAAAAAATATTTTTGGCCCAATATTTGGGTTACTAGTTTAGCGATGTTTGGTAGTGTGTTTGGCTCATTTTCAGGCAAATCAGAGACTAGAAATAAAACGTCGGAGGACCCCTTCAACCGACCAATCAGCCGACGAAGATATGCCGTGTTACTGGAACGTTCGGCTGGCTCAACCAATCATTAGCTGCGAGCGGCGTTCCTGGATAGTGCACCCATGGGTGGTTCTTTTATTTGGGCCACCTTAAGGTGAAAAAATAAATTGCTTGGCTTACATACCGTCAAAGGCAATCCAATTGCGATAGCACAGGTACGCAGTCCCTGGACGTAGCCCCCGTTCCTATTTGCAACTCCAGCCCCCCCCCCCCCCCCCCCCCCCCCCCTCGCCCTCTCGCGGACGAACGAAGAACCAGAGGAGCGGGGACGGTGGCGACGGCGCGGAGATGGTGGAGGAGTCGGACTGTCGGCCTTGGTGCTTGGTGCTGCTATTACCACATGGATCTGATCGGCGTGTTCGTGGGTGAAGCGATTTTAACGAAAGAAGTAGGCGCGTTAAGATAGGAATTTTTGTGTTCCGTCTCGCAACAGCGTTGCACGAAGGGACCGGGATCTGTAATTTGATTTGAGACCAAATTTCGTATATCGCGTACGCTGCGTATTTCTGGTCTTGTGGTCGACAGCTCACTCTGTACTGAACCTGACGGCAAATACTCCCGCTAGTATAGTGTAAAGCTCTAGCGTACAGTCTACAAAAAGTATATTATTTCTCCTTCGTGGGAGAAAACTGGTCGCGCAACAGTATGTCGAGCAGTGAATATCGGGAATGGCTTCACGTTTTATGGCCGCTACAAGGAACATGACCATTTTCTCCAAACAGTTTAAAATGACAAAATACGCATCTTTGCTTTCAGGTGATTACAAAGGCAAATAAAAAAATGCTCGAAGCATTTTAAGCATGTCCGTGTTACCCAGCCATTCGCGACGAGAGCTTAGAACGGGCAGTTTTCGCGAGGCGGGACGCAACGTTGCAAATAACACGGTACGCAACCGTATAGTGTATTAAAACATTTTTTTAAAGAACAATACTCAAAACCACTAAACACGCCAATGATTTGAATATGCAGTATTAGCATAGCGTTACCGGTGGCTACTGTGAGCACGGCTACGCTCCCAGAGCGCGCTGAATATTGTGCTTCAAATGCGCAGCGTAAGCTCGGTTGCAATGCTGCACCGTACGGTAGCCGGCGGTCACGCTATTCTAAAATTTCCTATCAATAACCATAGCGCAGTTTGATCACGCGTTGCAATACTCTCAAACCGCGACGGTAAGCAGCGAGTTGTGAGCCTGTGACATGATGACATCAATAGTGTGAACGCTGCTCTTCAGGTGCGTGATGCTCACCGTGCGCGGCTCACTTTCTGGAGCCCTAATGGCCAGACAAAGCGCAAACACTACGATATCTTCATCACCCACAGAAATAGTTTGTCACAAACATTGGCGGGGCCGGTGCCCAAACCGGGCTCGCCCTTCACAAAGCTTCGGAAGTTGAAGTTTCCGCAATTTTTAAATATCAACATGCTCGTTTTCATGACGCGCATCAACATCTCCGTCGCTTGTAATATGCTCCTGTCCTTACCGCTTCGCATTTGTATAACAATTAATTAATTAAGCGTGCTGACCAGCGTCAGCAACCAGGCGCACGGGAAATCCTGGAGAATCTATCCCCGTGTGTTCCGCCATCTTGGAACTACCGCCCCGCCATCGATGAGCCGTTGGATTTGTGAATACGCAGCGAAGGGGGGGAGTGGAAAGGGGGACCATTAGCGAACCTCCCCCCCCCCCTCTTTCCCCGCTGCCACGCGGCGCAACGCCATTGGTCGGCGCGTTATGACGTCATATAAACAGCTGTGTTGTTGACACTCTCACGTGATCCTGATACGGTGTGACCAACACCAACACGAGCAAAGCAAGGTCCGTGCATGCTGGGTTCTCATATAAAGCCTGATCCCACTGAAGGGTTAGCTGGTTGCATTACCGTCATCGCCCACGTCTAACGCTTGCGACGGAAGACGCAGTGAACCGATACTCGAGTCTTTGATAGCTCCTCCGATTAAGGCACGAATGTACAAAGAGTGCCGAGGATGGATGTGTCCCACATTCGAAACTGGTCCCGATCTCCATCGTGTGTGCGTCCCATTTTATAGCGCTCGGTTATTTTTGCTCTTAGAAGGGGGAGTCATCCTCGACAGCATCGTATACAGACGTATACACGTAGAGGCAGCGCTTTCTATCTCTCCGCGCTTCCCGTCATTTCGAGCAATAATGATAAGGGGCGAATCGCCATTGATTCCGATGCACCGAGCTGAAAGTGTTTCCAATGGGGCCGGCTGCACTTACTCGGTGCGCTTCGACGGCCATTTCTGCATGTAGAGGCATCTGTTTAGTGGGTTTCGTAGAAAGCGGGTGCCCTTTTAAGTCAAATGGGAGTCTGCTGAAATATCAGCTTGATTTCTAAAAAGGAATTTTATTTCAGGCTCGGTATCAGCCGGTTCTTTTTTTTCTTATTTTTTTTTTACTGGAACATTTTGTGGGGTTCGAATGGCTGGTTCTGCGCGCGCAAATAGCTCTTCGCACAGAAAACGATTTAAAAAAAAAAGCTATACATGCGCATCCCATAAGAACTTGGAGTCGAGGGTGTGGTGAGAATTATTTATAATGTTTTGATGATGCGATTGAAATGCGCATGAACTGTGATCAGCAAGCAGCAAAAAGGT